TGAAGGTTACATCATCACATCGTACCATTTCCCCGACCACCCAGCCTTCAGCTTCAAAGACTTTTACTCACGCCTCAATGATAAAGGTGAGACAGGAATGAAACTTGGAGGAATGTTTGCACGTAAGAAACTTACACTCTGCATTTTGTCACAACTGATGTGAAGTTTTTTTTAGAGTGTTCCTAAGTTATATTGTGGTGTCAGTTAGTGTCCTGTCCAGGTGTAAGTCCTGACACTTTCTGTCCTTGGTGTTCTCTCAGGCCAGGTGATTTACCCAGGAAAGGTGACGAAGGCAGACTGCTTCCGCGTGGGCAACATCGGACACCTGTTCCCAGAGGACATGCAGCACCTGCTGCACTGTATACAGGAGGTGTGTGCCGACATGGGTATCCCACTGCCTCTGAAGACCAGCAGCTAGATAAACAGCTTCTACAGAAATATCTAGCTAGGCTGAAGTACTTCAACATTGTCCTAATACTCTTTGTTAGGCTAATTGTACAGAAATCTGTTAATTCAGTTTCTTGCATCCATGTACTGTTACAATAGTGCAATGCACTACTGCCCTCTTTTTTTTAACACATGACACACTTTTGTTTAAAATAGCTGTAGGCTAGATATGATGATGATGTAAAACTATTGTCAATCACCTTGCTTCAGTAACAATCATCCATGACATAAAGGTGCATCTCTTCTTTTAAGGGATAGCTTACAATGTATTAAAAAAATTCATAAGATATAAAGACGAAAAAACACCAATGACTCAACCACCAATACTTGACACTTGACCCAAAGTCAGGCACATTCAAAACTGTTTTTGATGCCACTGCAAATCTACCCCAGTTGTGCCAAAATTACACTACAAATCTGGAAATATACAATCTCTACAAAAGTTCATTATTTATCAAAATCCTTGATAATTTTAAATGGTTCTTATATTTGGAATCCACCAATCCACTAAAAATCTATATTTTCTAAGCCATTGAGTGGGTGGGGAATTCAATTGATGACAGAGTTAGACAATCAGATGGCTTGGTACATTACTAATGGTTGTGGGTTATAACAACTTTTGGACATTCAAAAGGAGCGGTCCCTTTCACTAGCCTGTAGGAGTGAGTATATGTCAGTGGATGATACCACTGGCTACTCGTTCACTTGGTTTTGTAGACTAGGTACTTTTTAAAAATTCCAGCGAGACAGTGAAACATACTGTAATTCACTTTATGTTCATGGTAACAAAATTTCACGGTCTATTTCTTGATATGCAAGCATAGTGCTATTCCTCCTGTTGTTGTGGAACTGTAACTTGAGAAATATTTGGATTTCTCATATTTTGGTGAATTCTTAATTGTTTTAACTTATTTTGAAGAACACTACATTACCTTTTTGCCTACAACATGTAACGTTACTTAATTTTTGGAAGATGACTGAATGAATAGATTATATTATACAAAGGTTATATTATTCCATTTGTGTGCCATAATCACTGTTAATGCTTCATTGCTGCTTACATGTTAATTGATAAAATAGATAAATAAATAGATAAATGAATTTTTAAAAATTATCAAAGCAATGACGGTCCACTTCAGTCCCAAGCATTGACATGTGGTGAGGATGAGTGTTTGATCAAATGTCAATTGTTATGTAATGCATTGGGTGCTAAGATAGAGAGAACTTTATTGACACAACAAAAGTACAGCGACTTTCGTAAAGTCTAAGACTGCATGTAGATATACAGACAAATACATTGGGTACAACGAAATTAACCTATGTACAAAACAATAGATGAGTCAACTAATACTTGTTCTAAGGTCTAAATATTCTTTGATATACTTACCTATTTGTACACAGTAAGATATGAACACAATTGTTTCGGTGCCGTCCAGCTTGAATATTTCAGTGAATTTCATCTCTGCAAGTAATGTAATTTTGTATTGTGTAACATCATGTTCAACCATTTTGTGCCTGTTGATGATACAAATTACAAAAAGAATCCGGAAAGAGCCAATAGCAGTTGCATGTGAGTTTTCCGACTGTAATGTATCATTAGAATTGTGTACAGTAGTGAGGTAGTTACCTTAGATAGTTTGAGATGCCAACTTCTTAAAGCCATTGTTTGCTTGATAATCACTTTATTGATGTTTTAAATCTGGCTGATTTTACTTTGAGCAATAAATACAGAATGATGTTTAGTCTCAACTTTGGAATGTTTTATTGCTCGATGTACTCATGAAAAACAGGATTGACTAAGAAAGGTAACGTTTGTATATCTACACCCTACAAAAACTGGTGAAGACTTACTTCAAGTAGTGTAACAAAAAGTGTAACTTGTACTTCATTCAAAAAACGCTAGATGTCGCTTTCGTGGCGGAGAGTTAAAAATTCTGCTCGCAAGGGGGCGTCCGTAATATGAGAAATGCGCATGTGCAGTAAATACAATCCTTTGCAACGCAATATGAACTGTTTTCACCCAAACTTCTTTGACCAAAGTTGGCTGTAGCAAGGTTTTCCTGCTTTTATCTCTCAAACTTTTACCATGACTAGACCCCCTTGGTAATCAGTGGTGTCTAGATTTGTTGTATGCGTTTCGTGGTTGCTGACGAAGAGAAAAAGAGGAGAATTTTCGCCAGATTTGTTGGAGACTGGGTCGAGAACCAGACCTGACCTAACCACCCACCACTCCAGGAAGTCACAGGGCCAGGGATCCCCTTCCGTCGATCCAAGTCCGCCAAAAGGTGAAGTATGGGGATACTTCGGTCTTGTGTTTGTGACGTTTGAAAAGTTTTGCAAAAACCCGTCATCGGGCAGTGGAAACTTCTGGATGTCGGTAAGGTCAAAGGACAACCACGTTACCTTCTGCGTAGCAGAGTTTGAAAAACAACACCTAACGTTAACAGTAACATTTTATTTTCGTGCTCACATTGAGGCTACCCTGTATAGCTTATACGTATGATTTATTTTGGTTCCAACATCCTACAGATTCAGCACACACGTGAAGGTATAGATGAGGTGCTCAAGCAGGTGACTAGGAGAAAGTTTCATGTTACAGGTGTCACCTGTGAAAATTTGGGTGATTGACGTCTGACCTCGATTTCCCTGAAAGACTGTGTAGCCCAGTGTTACGGCAGCATCACATGTGAAGTGTCAGTTTGGAGGAAATCCAACTTTCAAGATTCATATTATAAAGAAACCGACTCATACTAAGTCTTAGCGGCTAAGTCCTAGGAGCCAGTCCTAACAATGATACAGTCCTAATGACATATGTTACAACTTATATAAATAATGGTAACGTTATATATTATGGTAGGGGATGTTATATGTTACAACTTATTATACAAGCACATTTTGTTGGAATGCCATCCCTCCCCACTTGTACCGCCTGCTGCACTCTTCCTGCTCTTCCTATCTGTAGAGTTGACAGACCCTTTCAATCATTGTCAGTATACGTAGGACAATACCCAATAATCTTGTCACTCATGATGAGTGATTTGGTCTTCTGACACGCTACATGTAGTTCAAACACCCAGTAACGGCTCTGTTATCCCTATCTACAGGTTTTACACTTACAGGATGCATTGGATCGTTCATTTGGAGGGTGGACCGAGGAGAGTTAACCATGCAGCAGTGTCTGTAGGGGACAAAGTCTACAGCTTTGGGGGGTACTGTACTGGGGAGGACTTTGAGACAACTAGACCTATCGATGTTCATGTCTTCCACATTGGTATGTGTCATATCTGCTATTTCTTTCTGTTATTTCCTCTGAATGATATTCATAAGCAAACAAAACGTTAACTTTCTGTAACCAATGTTATTTTATAGTTACATAGTTTCTTGGGCAAAGACGATACTACCAACCATAGATGTTTAAAAACAGTTGGTCATGTAGCATGCAGAAATAAAGTGTTAGTAAGGCAACAGCAGTGGTCAGGAAGGAAACTTTCTAAATATAGATGCTGGCATGCAGATATGCGGATAAGACAGCAGCCAAGCATACAGCAAGCTAGCAAACATACATGGAAGAAGCTGGTGTATTATGCAGAAGAGCTGTTATGTTAGCTATTCAACATACTTCATGTAGTAGATAAAGAGAAGACATAGAATACATTTAGAATAAATTTGCTAAAATCTATTGAAATGGTGTTGTAATTGCTGTACTGATGCTATGTATGTACAACTGTTACTTCCAGTAACATGTCGCTGGAAAAAGCTCCCAATTCCAACTCACAGTGACCCAGATTACCAGTCTGTGCCATACATGAGATATGGTCATACAGCGGTGGCAGTGGGGGAGAAGGTGTATTTATTTGGGGGCAGGAACGACTCTGAAGGAGCAGACAACATTCTGTACTGCTTTGACACAAGTGAGTAGAAATTATCAGAACAGTAGTATAAATGATAAGAATACTATTTAGCTAGCTTCTATCTGAGCCAGAATGTAAGTATAATGTAATGTCATTGAAGTATTCTCTCATATCACCTGTACATAGTTCTTTCAGTTACTACCGGTAGCTTGAAATGCTTGAATGATTATACTGGTGTTTCGAGCAATAAGATCAGTGGTATCTACCTGTAACAGAGACTGTTACCTGACTTGGAAATGATGAAAATATAAAGAAAGTGTCTTTGAAGCTTTGAAGAAGAATGAAAAAAAAACTGCTTTGCATGATAAGACTTCATTGCGAGATGAACCGTCAAAGAACACAAAAGATGTTTGTAATTGTGACAGAGATTGTGGTTCTTGGAAGAACTGGTAAGGGCACTGTGAGTATTGCAATTACATGTACCAGTGACCTAATTTGCCAGACAGGACACTAGGCCATGTTTACACAATGTCAATCCCTAGGCTAATTCAAGGAGCTCTATTTGAAGTTCCTAGGTTAATTGAACCCTTCCCAGGGGGCAGGAACTGCCGGGTGGGCGGCCGGTAGGAGTGTGAAGAAACAAAATTAAGAAAGATTATAGGAATGGTGTCTGTAATTAAGAAATGTTTTGCATTTCTATGTCCTATTTGTCGTGCAGTATTTGGCAAAGCCCAATTTCTGGGCACTGTGCCACATGGGCTTGTAGTTCATTGTTGTCTTTCTTTTCTTACTGTTGACACATGTCTGGATAATTATATGCTAACCTATTGGAGTGTGACAGACTACATCTTGTTTTTCTCCTTCATTATATTTGCTTGACTGCAGGGTTACAGTAATTTACATTTTGTCTGTTCCCTCCAGCTACACTAAGGTGGTCCTGTCCGCAGGTGACTGGTGCCACCCCCCCAGCACGCGATGGACACTCCCTGTGTGTGGTTGATGACAACCTTTATGTATTTGGAGGATATGAACAGATAGTAAGTACTGCTGATGACTGTAGCAGTCCCTAGAATCCAGTTTTATTATCGACTTGTTACAATACTTGCTACAACTACAGTATTCAGGTACTTATCAACAGTGACATAGCTTGTAGCCATTAATGGTTGACCATTTGGTAAAAGATACTAAATATTAGTTTGTAGCCATTTCCTACAACTATTTAGTAGAGTTAAGTTTTGATGGTACATGTATTTTGAGTACATTAAAAATCTGACGGTGTATTTCCTACAGGCTGACTGCTTCTCTAATGAAGTTCACAAACTGGACACAACAACAATGCACTGGAGACTACTACCAGCCAGGGTGGGTATCAGTAGGGATCTCTACTAGTAGTACTACTACATAACTGAAAAAGGACTTTCAGTATCAGTCAGCAGCGCTGAAAGTATGTTGAAAGTTTATCCCGTTTATCTGTTACCCAGGGATTTAGTTAGTCATGTACTTGCTGGAAATGTATCTTGCCACAAAAAGTTTTCCATCTTGCTACATCTGTACATATAAAGTTTTTAGCTTTGTATAAGATTTAAAGAACGGCATGGCAAGATTGAACTCTGACCTCTCACCCTACAGGGTCACCCTGCCAGATGGCGAGACTTCCACTCAGCCACAGCGGTCGGCAGTAAGATGCTGATCTTCGGCGGTCGTGCTGACCAGCTCGGACCGTACCACTCCAACCACGAGATCTACCCTAACTACGTTAAAGTGTTTGACACAGTGACCTTGAGATGGAGTGAACCAGAGGTCAAGAACCGTGCAATGATCGAGGGCAGACGGAGCCACTCTGCATGTACGTATTACTGTCAGACCTTCTGCCTGGGAGCCTCCAGTTTTCTTTTACAGTTAGAGCTGGACCAGAAATCTTTTCAGGCGTACACTGTCCAAATGTCTTGAAGCATGATTAACTAAGGCAGAATTAAGGCATGATAATAGCAACAGGTTTTCGGAAATAATGTTGATCATTTTTTTCATAAAAGTTACAGTTGTAATTCTCATCTAGAAAAGAAAATTGACGAGTTAATACTGATAGTATGGCATGACTGAGTCCTGCGTCTTTTCTCACAGTTGCACATGGACAGTATGTGTACATTTTTGGTGGCTACAATGCACTGCTGGAGAAGCACTACGGGGACATGTGGCGACTGGACACAGGTCTGTTTTACCTTAACTTTGGCACTTATCACAGTATCTTTTAAACTGTAGAACTCTGTGGATGTCGTGTATATGTGGCGGCATATTTACATTCATTCATACACAGGGAAGATCATATGAAATCACGAAATTCAATACCTAACATTGTAAATTTGTATGTACCTGGTTGGGGGGAAATCCTGTACAGTTATTGTAAGAGTCATTAAATGTGAAGACTGTTGCTTGTGTAGTGTAAGTCAAGTGTTGTTGACGTCTTCCTGCTACAGAGAAGTGGGAGTGGAAGCAGGTGTTTCCCCTGAACCCAGGCCCGTGTGCCCGGCGGCGCCAGTGTGCATGTGTCATCAGAGACCAGGTGGTTCTGTTTGGTGGGACAAGGTAATTAAACATGATCGTGAATTAAATGTAACTTCAAAGTTTGAGCCATGAGCTGTTAGCTTCAGCTAAAGCTTAACCCTGTGACCTTGTTGTAGACTGTCAAGTTTTTTTTATGTCCTTTTGACTGTATTCCCAAAGCTGTCGTAGTGGTTAGCTTTGGGAATTATAATGGAACATTATGAGAAAGATTAATTGATTGTATGTGGTTGTTGTTCCCTGCAGCCCATGTGAGTTTGGGCAGGTGGGAGATCTGTCCAACCTGATGGACCATTCTGATGTCTACATCCTAGACCTTGGTGAGTCATGTCAGAAGATGTGCTATACTGGAAGTCATTTGTATTGTCAGTTTTGTACGGAGGATGCAGGAGTGTGAAGTACAAAAAAGTAAATTTTTCAAGTCCTGGTGGTGGAATTTCTTACAAGGCTTTGAATAGCTGAATGTGCCACAGACAAATAACATTCATTAAGTCCACATATAAGCAAGGAAATATAAGAGAAGCTAATGGGACTTATTCTGTGATATGCTTCATTCCCACAGCCCCATCACTTAAGACCCTGTGTAAGGTTGCAGTCATAAAGCACAAGCTGGACTGGTCTGTGCTGCCATATGACATCAGGTCAGTAGTACATAGACATTACTCTTGAATCATTTCATAGCAAGGACATTTTTAAAGCTCTTTCAGAAATTGAGATAAACTTTCTCATATTTTCTTCTGTTTTTCTCCTTCCTCCACAGATGGGAGTTGGAAGCTATGACAAAAAACAACACCATCTCCAGACCCCTCCCCACCTTCCAGGGATGACTGACACCTGTCAATCATGAACATTACAATAACCATTGTTTTGATGTGTTGACACAGTCTTATTATGTACTGCATTTGATGTACCAAAGTTGCTCAGACAGTATTAGGTTTATATGACATTGTATATATGACATTGCAGTCAATATATACTGAATGGGACAAAATTATCAGTTTTAGTGAAGTAAATTTGAACTAGAACAAAGCAAAGACAGTTTGATATGATATGTTGCTAAGTCTAAAAGCTGCCTTTCACCCTGCTGCTATTAGCTGGTTTGGGTAATTTTTAGGCTTACTGCATGTCTATCAGGGTATCAGAACAGTTGTGTCTATATACATGTCTGGGTCATGTCAGTGTAACCACTTACTACACGCAGTTGTCTGTTATTTTTGTTGTGGAACAATCTCTGTGGTCTAATATGGTATAATGACCTAAATCAGCACCAGACTTGTGCTTCTGGTTGCCAGGGAAGTTCCCTGATGATCACAGTTTGCCTGTTCTTGTCTCTGAAAGTCAGCCTCATCTCTCTGGAGGTAAGGGGATCACCCTTACCCATGATAAAATATACAGTATACAGGCCACTCAAGTCTGTATAGCAGTATCCGCTAAATAGATAAATTCATAGATAAACCTGTAAATAAAAACAGTAACCTGGAGCGGATTTTATTGTTGTAACAAGTAACAATTATTTCTTACCAGTTTTATCCCAACAGACACAATAGTGTATGCGTACATAACAGATACCAGGAGGCACATGCTTGCCTTTCTAGTATTTCTTGAGTTCAGAACTTTTGAAGAAAGCAATTGTCTGTGAATATCAGTTGAAGTTGAAAATGAAAGAAGTGGTTCAGACTTCGGAGAATAGAATCCTTCTTCCACATGGTAATCTGTGCCAGAGAATATCATAGCAGGAATTCCAAGTTGGGGTGTTTGAAGACATCTTGATTTTAACTCCATGTAAAAAATTATTGTTTTATTTAGAATGGCTCCTGTAAGGGTAACAGTATTGCTTTGGGCCACATCAGGGAAATACTTTGGTTCTCAGACTGGGTTTGGTCAATTCTCCACGAGCAAAATAAGACGGCATTGAGGTGACTGTATTGCTTTTAAATGAATTGTGTCTGGCTCACTTTGAGTGAATAAGGTGTATGAAGTACTTAGTCATCGCTCATCATTCTTTTTCCAGTTTCAAATTGGAGGACGAAGCATTTCACAGGAGTGGCCTTAGTGAGTAATCCTTTGTTGACTTGATGAACTGGCACTGGGGAAAAATGTGATTTTAATTTTACTGTGTGGGTAGTAACATCAGGTATAAGGCATTAAGTATAAACGGAGAAGTCCAAAATTGGATTGCTGGCTGACAAAGAAAATTTCTTACTATGAATGTATAGTGTGATATATGAAAATGTACAAAGGGGAATAAAATGAGTTTATTATATAAATGATTATAATGTAGAAAGGTGAATGTTTTCTGTTTTGTAACATATATGCAAGTTTTGCTTTGAAATAATTTATGCTGCAGTTGTGCACACATAATGTGCCATTGAACAGCTTCCTGTATCTAATGTAAACATTCTGGATAGCCCACCATACATACATTTGTACAACATGTAGATACACCACAGAAACTCTAAATACTCAAAATAACAATATGTTTTGCCATATGTGCAGTTCATACACTGCCTGTACTTGAAGTACAGAATTTTTTCCAGCCTTGCCTCAGTCTGTAGGTGCGAGATGATTTGTTTTTGTGTATGTGACATTATTTTGTGCCTTCTGCCAGTGATTATTAATAGAAATGAAATGACAGGTGCAGGATGTACAGTTATGTATGATAAAAATAAATATGCATTATGTCACAATTATTACTATAGCCAGTGTGGTTCTTTGAAGATTTGTTGTACATTGTATATGAAACAAAGGGTCTATTTATCAAAAGTCTTGGCTTTTGTAATCCAGGCCAAAGTGAGATTCATAACTAACTTCAGCATGCTATTCTGTCAGGCTAGGTATTTGCTGGCTTCCAGTAAATAATTACAACAAATGCACATTCTGTATACTACAAGTTTATTACCTCATTCAGCAAGACACAAACTCAGGCTTTCATGATTCATTGATGTAATACATAACACATAATAATTTTTTTGGTGTACTGATGTTTGACAAACAAGGAAGGTTGGTCAATAACAATTGAGAAGTTAGACATGGATGTCAACAGTAAGCAGAGTACAAAAACTCCCTTTGGTTGTTCACATTTTTCTCTTCTCCGTACTTGCCATTGGTCATGAGTTGCTCAGGACTTGTCCTTCTAGTCTTAAAATTTGACTTCTGATTTGTCTAATTCCTTGCCAATGAAAATTTCTCCCTGAACTCATCATGCTCATGATTATGATCAGTAATGGATTTCTTGTTTTATCCCCCCTGGTCAGTCCCTCCACATCATCCACAGCCGGTTGATACTGATGACTCGGCGCTTAGGGAATGCCCGCAGTGATGACGGCAGGTGGCGGTGCATGCACACAAACACGACAAACAACACCGTCATGGCCAGGCAGAAGTACATAAAAGACATGGACGGCTCCTGCAGGAACGAAAACAAAGTTTCAGCTCTGAGTCTGACAACTAAACGGTATTTGTTTGCAGCTGGAAAAGACAATGTTTTTTGCTTTGCTTTTTCAAATTCCTGTCAGTGTCATTAAGAGAGAGTGTTACCTCGATAACTCCGAATGGGCTGTGAGCCTGGCGCTCCTTCCAGTAACTCAGGTAGGAGAACAGAGTCTCGTACAGTGGCTGGACCTCATCCAGGGCATTCTGGGGATAAGGCAGAACCTTAAAAAGTGTCAGGTTCTACATACATGTACATATAAAATAATGAAAAGACCTTCAACAATGGAAAAGCACAAGGATAAAAGTAAAGCTCTTATCTATCCCTATGCTGCCTCGTAGACCTGTAGTGACCCACCTGCAGGTCCTTGTTGGGAGGGTTGAAGAGGTCGAAGCACCTCTTACTGGGACTGTCCCGGTCTCCCCACATCTCTACTGCCAGCGAAAAGGGCAGCTGGAGGAAGGACAGACAGTGTCTGATATGTCTGATGACTATGCTTATGATACAGAATCGAACTCAGGAATCAAAACCTACAAACCTACAACTTTCACATTGTAATCAAGAATGAAGAAGTGCTATAATGTCAGACTCACCTCCTTCACCCCTGCCATGTAGTCAAACGATGTCCCATCTGCCGTGTACTGGTTCAGCTCGTAGCCAATCCCGTGTTGAAACTCTGGTACCATAGAGTCAGATAACAGCTTAGCCAGGCGCATCTGATCTGCCAGGTTCTTAGGTTTCCTCTGCTCCTGCTTGGACTGAGAATCTACAACAATATGTGGATAATTGGTTTCTTGGTTCATTTTGTGAACTTCCCTATACTTTGGATTCAGAACACTAAAATCTTGAATGAGAAGTTGACAACAAATGATCCACATATTCTTTTGCCTATAGTAGTTCATCTGGGATACTAGACATGAATAATACTGTATGTAACTTAAGTTAGCAAAGTAACATTGAAAATAACATCATCTTCTTTTGACTTTCTAGGTTAGAAACAAGCCTTGAATAAAGTCATTCAATATTGGGAATTTGAAGTATGACTGTGTTAAAAACTAAAAACTTATTCCATAGCTATAGGAGCCATCCTATAGGAACTGACCAGAGAATGGGAGGTAGATGTCCCTTGTGCCTGAGTGTAGAGATAGGAAAGCATCAAACTGGAACTTTGTTACCAGGTCTGTCAGCACAAAGCACTCTGGCTCTAGAAACAGCAACATGGAGAAAGATTAGAGGACAAATTCACATCAAGAGCAATGAACACATTAGGAATCTCAAATTTAAAAAATTTGGATAGAAAGCCTTGCAATTTTTAAGTGATCACAAACACAACTTTACCCAACCTTAAATCCATTGTTCCAGCCCTTACCAGAGAATGCAGCTGCCCCTCTGTATTCTTCATCCTCAGGGTCCCCTGAGCTGCCAGGACCGCCAAACTGCCAGTCAAAGTTCCTGTTCAGATCCACTCCTGTACTCGTCCCCCGCCAACAGTAGTTCTTAGTTTGTTCCACGTACTGTCTCCCATCTGGGTTGACTATACCGACTATGAACAGATCAATCTTAGACAGAATCTCGCTAGTGTACGCCCTACTGTGGCTTCCCTCTGGCGCAGTGAGACCCCCAGTTAGATTTAGTAGTAAGTGAAACATGCTCTCCACAGGGAAGAATTCACGTGCGTGTTCCCCATATGCCAGCAGGATGCGAGCCTTCACTGGTGTGAGTCCTACCTCTGTGCTATGCTGGATACTGTAGCTCCCTGAAAAGTTGGAGACTCGTAACACATACTGTGGTCGTCCTTTTCTGGACCGGTAATTTGTGTCTAACCTAAGGTATGCAGGAAACTTCTGTGCAAGTTCTTGTATATGAGCTCCAACTTGAGTCAGGTTATGGTACACAGTGTAGTCTGGCAGGTATTTTTCCTTGACAGGTTTGACGTCTCGACCCTGTGTCCATGGTAACCAGGTGAGGAGGAGCAGTGATATGTACAGTAGGAGGCGACGATTGCACAAGGTCATCCCCAGCAGCTGGGGTGTACCACTACAACTGTACAATGACATGATCCTATTGCACACAGATAGATGACCTGAAAAATAATTTGTAAGGAAAGTTACACGTAATAAAATGATAGGTTGCTGTGTTGACACTGACTAGCTGGGGAAGCATGATGCAGTGTCACCATAGTCTGCTGTTGTAATCAGATTTACTGTGTTGAGTCTGACCATGAAGTTCAATTTATGATCCATCCTGTTGTTTTCACATTTTTGCTAAAAATACTGAATGCAAAACATTGCATACATTGCGGGAGAGATATGGATCGACTAGAACACTACTGATCATGGTTTATTATACCATGCAGAATCTTTGATCACGTAAATGCGGATTTCGACATACTAGTATTCATTTTCTGGACTTGACCTAGAATAATCTGCACTATGCTATATAAAAACCAAGCTCCATTTATATAGTCCATACAGTACCACAGACATCAAACACTAACGTTACTCACCTCATAACCTGACTCTTCCCATCCATCTACACAACACTACAATCCTCTTCGCCCTTTCTACGGGACAAAACAGCATTTCGTTTTCGCGTGATTGTTGTTGATTTGTCCTAAAGCCGCCCCATCTGTTTTTGTTCAGCGTTCAAATCAAATCCCTTACGTACGAAACGCCCTAAAGGCCACAGACGCACCGGACTGGTACAAGTTATAATGGGGGTGATAACAATAAATTACTTAGTGAAATTACATACATAGCTAAGGCGACTAAATTTGATCCATCTAATAATGAATGCAACTAACTTACAAATTATTATTGCTTTGCTGCAGAATGATTTGAAAGCCTTTCATGAAAAAATATTTACTCTGCACCAGATAATGAGATATTCTGTCAAAGGTGAAAGGTTGCAAACTCTAAACACGTTGCACAGTGGTGAGAGAAAATGCGCTATTAATGCGCTGTCAATTTGTAGATTTGTGGTGTCAGTTTGGTTCACAAGAGAGATCGAATTATGATACAGCTGTGCCGACATTTTGGAAGTCATCTAGAATGCCAGACTGTTGCGTGCCAAGTTCGGAAGCACGTCCGAGATGGGCACAGAAAGTATGATCGGAGTGGCGCCCGAGCCCTGTTTGTTCGTCTGCTTTCGAAGGAGAGAGACCATGAAAAAAGTGAGAAACAACAGGAACAAGGACTGGAGGACGAAGAGCAGAAGGGAGGCCACGAGTTAGAATCTCCGCCTTCCCCTTCACCAGGAAAACCAGCTGCAGGGTCAGAGGAACTCGGTAAGCAGCCCATGACCGAGTCCATGACCATGGGCCGCCGCTTGCGTGGGCGCCCCCTATCCCCCTTTCAACGCGTTACCGGTTTTATGCCTCCAGACTTCTGGAAAAGCAAAGCGGCCGACTTGGGTGCATTTGAGATGGAATCCACTCAAAAGCCTAACTCTGAGACTGAATCAGCTGCAGAAACATTAAAAGAACAAAACAATAGAATTAATCAAGGTCATAAGACTAGTAATGAGACTGAAGGCAGTCAAGTCCTTGAAGATCATCATATGGATAAGGAGAGGGATGATTTAAGGACGAAAGACTTAAGCTCAACAGGAATATCAAACTTGTTTCCATTTGACTTGAATTTTAATCTACCAAATTTTAAAGTGTTCAAATCGCCATTGAAGCAATTGCCTCTGAAGGTAGGAGAACCAATCATGGCCGAACTGAAGGAACAGAAAGAAGTCCAGCACTTTCGTAAGATGTGGATTCTGGATGAGAGAAGGAAGGTCAACAGCAAGTATGGGATGGTTTTGTTTGAGGACATCATCGGGAAGAATCCAGGAGACACCTACGTCACCTCAACTGGGACAGAGATGATCATTCGCCGACCAAGTTTAGAGGAGTTCACACTCTACATGAAGAAGATCGCTGCTATCCCGCATCCAAAGGTAGGAAAATTTGGGGGAAGCAATGTCTGGATTGAAACTGCAGAAATTAGCAAACTGTGGTAAAGGAAATATCTTGGTTTCATTTATTGGCTGTAATGCAAAACCAGTCACATGCTATGCGGGCAGTACATCTGCTTAGTATAAGAATATTGATGTCCCTTTATTACCATTGATGCTGCCAAAGAACTCCAACTAGTATATCTGCCAGAGGGCCACAACATTTTCACACTTTGTAGTGAACGAAATAATCTGGCTGAGATAGGTACTTAAATGGCTCAAGATTTTTTTTTCCATGCAGAACAACAACACAGCCCTGTGCCTGCTGGACGTGTCACCAGGAGACTGGGTACTGGAGTGTGGGACTGGGTCTGGTGCCATGACACTCTTCCTGTCCAGGGCAGTGGGAGTCACTGGCAGGGTCATCTCCTTCGAGATTAAGCAGGATCACCTGAACAGAGCTAAACGCAACTACAGGTGAGCAGTGAAGTTGTCTTACTTGTCACTTTCATCTTCAAGTACTAATTACTAAGTTGGTTGGTGCTATGCTGAAGTTGGATTTGATTGAAAGGGTGAGGCAGCATTTGAGTTCTGTCTCCTTGTCTTTAGCTCTAAACATGAAGTATGTTTGTACAGGCTCTGGATAGACTCCTGGAAGCTGAGTCATGAGACAGACTGGCCTGACAATGTCACCTTCCATCATGCAGATGTGATCAATGCCACGGACAAGGTCAGGCACCAGCTGGATGGGGTAAGTTACACAAGGCTGTCTCATGTTATTCTAAGGTACATGTACATGTATGTTATTTATTTGATTTATTTCATGAACCTGACATAATAGCTGACACAAGCTCTTATGTTCCATTTACACAGGCATTTCTAGACATGTTGACTCCTAACATAGGGTTGCGTGCAGTCCTGCCTCTCATCAAGCCTGGCAAAGTGATTGCATGCCACATCGTCAAGTAAGATATCACTTATACCCTGACCACTGTGTTTTTTTGATTCAGTGAAGACAAGAACTTATGGTATATCATGTTGATCTTATCCTGTCCAGTCATATGATGGCTTTTTTTCTTTGCTCACGAAAATGTTTCTAAGTACTCTTGTCTTTCCATGTAAATGTACTTAGCATGACACAAGTGGTAGATCTGGTTGCCAGCATTTTGAAGCATCAACTGCCAGTGGTAGTGGAGCAGGTGTTAGAGGTGGAACACAAGAACTGGCTGGTCACACCTGCACAACATTATACAGGCAGGCTCATCAACAAGCCTGGCAGCCCTTCACATGGGGAGGTCAGCAGCGATGAGGAACAAGGTACTAGTATTAAGTAACTCCTCTAATAACTAACCTGCCATCTCTCATTGGATACGCACAGTGTGATAATTAATTTGTTCTTTGTATTTTGTCATTTTGTATGTGAACTAAACATACAGTTCACACAATGATCTATACTATTCTTTGTGTAGCTATAAAGGTGTCATCCTATCTTGTTTCCTTAAGACTAATTTGTTTGCTTGTTTTTAAGGGTCTTCATCAGAAGAGGAGGGGAATGGAGGACAGATAACAGAAGACACAGCTTTCCTGGCCAGACCTGCCATCAAGCAGGATTCCCATACAGGTACATTGTATGGTTCATACAAACATTTACATTTCTAATACTTGCAGCAAGTCAGAAGTTGGACTAATATGGGCAGTACCAGAATGCAAAACAATTAATAATACACTGTAGTTCATTAATTACAATCTCCAGGTGTGAAATGGCCCAAATAGAATTTATTCACTTTCTCAAGTATGGGGTACATGACTCTGCTGTTCGACAATACAGACAGTGTCAATGAAGGTAGTCCATTTGCTTTTATAACACTTTTGTTTTCTTCCTTTCAGGGTTTTTGATGAAACTGAGGGTCTACTCTGACACAAAACATGCAAGATGCACCACGTAACATTACTGATAGTTGCAAGGTCATGAATAGACTGAGTTGTGAGAAACCAGAGCCTACAATGTACTCTTCTCTCATATTGACTATACACAGACTCTGACCGAGATTTCATCTTTTCTTTACCTATTGAAATCCTTTTATAGACAACAAAATAATCTACTTAAATACTTAAAATGAACAATATGTTACAACTATGTACAGGTCACTTCAATTCCTGATGTCTCTAATACATCACTATTCAGTGCATAGTATTACAGAATAATATACAAATATACTTTAAATAATTAATAAATAATTACCCTTATCTAATGTAGGGACTTTTTTTCCTGGGACTGCTGTACATCCATCATCCCCACCTCACAGCAGAAATCAATGACAGACCTTTTTTAAATAAAATTGAAGTGGCAAAATTCATTTCAGGCTGTACAACAAGTACTAGATACATGATGTATTAATAAATGCTTAACAATACATATCGTTATCCCACAAGTAAATGGGCAAGTTCATAGTTGCACAATAAACAATGACAAGACAACTGCAATTGTCAGCCTTCATCCCTGAGGCTATTTGGTTCATACTATAGTTCACCATGTACAGTGATAGGAGATGAAAGAGGGATAATGCTTTGACTTTGGCCTTGGTAGGGAAAGAATGCATAAGTTTGTCATTTCCTCACTGGGTAGTTCTGACCTTTGAACATTTTCAGCTCACATAAACAACTGAACATGAATTTTCTGAAATGAATCTCTTCTCACATGTCACACATGTGACGTAATGCAGATAACTAACATCCCAATCACTCTTCCTTTCTGGCCCAGATGGAGTCAGCATCATCTCCCACAGGCACTGGGTCTGTTTGTAGTGTCTTCTTCAGACCTGCCAATGACAATTATCAGATGTCATGCTTCCACTTGGATTCCTAATAACAAGCACTTAACTACACCCCATAGATAAATGGTTTTAAACATTAAATGAACATAGCAGAGAATGTTACCTTGCATGTTGAAGCTGGACCAGTCTTCTGGTGCGATGGACAGTGAGGGATCCTCCTGTGAGGACTCCGAGGTCTCTGACAGGTAGAGGTAGGTACTGGCTTGGCTGTCAGACTCATAGCCATCACTGCTGCTGTCAATGTCTCCAACTACACCCTGCACAGAAGGACAAAGAAGTATTTTAACTTAAAAGTTGTTTTTATTTTGCTTCTGCCAAGGTACAAGTGAAATATATATCACATTGTTACTACCAGTAGCTAATATATACCTTGATACCGTCTACAGTCGAGTAAGGCTTCTTCCTGCCTGTTGTGGACTGATCTTAGACGCCTTCTTCGTACTTCAGATGCTCCCAGTTTTGATCCAATATACCGGTAGTGGGAATTGTTATGATGCTAATTTATCTGGGAATCAGGAAGTAAGCTCTAACCTGACAAACTGCACAGTATATGGGCTCATGGCCTGGTCCCCTTGGTTCATATTCATGTTCATCTTTCGGGTAATGTCGTGTTGCCCCTGCATGGTGTTCAGAGCGCAGGCGCTGCCAGATGTTGTGCCATGGAGCAATCAGCATGATCTGTAATAAAGCAGGTGTTTAACTTTGTCCATAAACTGCCTTTATTCCACAATACCTTTACTTTGTAATCAATCTTATTTTGCAAGACTCATACTTTGATAAATGAATACATTTGACACTGGCAATTAAATAAATGTTGAAATAAACAAGTAATTACTAATGATAAGAAAATTGATAAAATGTAATTTATCACATATCTTGAATTGTCCTTATGGCTGCAAAAGTAGATCTTTTAAGGTCTACTTTTTATACTTTTTATACTTTGTGTCACCTCCTCACTGCACTTCCTGCTGACAGCTGCCCTGTAGTGCATGGCCTCCCACAGGTGGTCTCTCCTCCTCAGGAAACGTGGGTACCGGCTCCTCCAGTCAACACCAAGGGCCCAGGGGAAGATCTCATACTTCATGTCATCTTCATCCTCTTCCATGTCATTAGCCAGGTAGCTGATTGATACAAAGTGAATCATGGAATTTCAGAAACTTGTTTGTGTTGTGAAAAGTAATTACAGCAATATTGCATACTTTTTCCCTTCATGATAAGGGCTTGTGAAAGGGTCCCATGATGATATGTACAAAATCAATTCAAGTATTCAATGTGAACAAACCATACAAAATCCCACTAGATATTACAATACTAATACACATCCTACATGTATGCTGTCATAATCTTCATCAATCTTCTACAGGCTCCTTTTTCATGGTAACATTGTTTGATGGTTATTTGACAGTTAGGGTTTTTTTGCCAGAATGTTGCCAAAATAAGTACTCACAGAGCCACGAAAAAGTTCATCCTGTTGTACTGCTGCAGTGAGTAGCCAACTCTCTTGAAGTATGCAAACACCATGGCCAACAAGTACTACGGGAATTAGGACAAAAATACCATATCATATCTGCTTTTTCCAAATACCAATGGAATTGGAAAAATTGAAGAGATGACAACTGGAGGCTAGCAAAATCCTGAAACAGAATGCAATAATACACAGACTAACATTGCTTGTCATCAAATTCTCTTTACCTTGTCAGCTATCCTGCAGCATCTGTCCATCCAAAGGAAATCTTGAATCAGGTCATCATCTGTGTAAAGTGTTTGATTTGTTAATCTCTCAATAAGGCTTATGGCCAATACAAATTATGAAATTCTTTATCTATGCTGAAATGAAATCAGCCTTAAGAAAGCAACAGTTAAGAAAAACAGGTGTTTTCCACTTTTATCCTTTCAGACTTAATGGCAGTTACTGAAATATAAGATCTGTACCTATCAGCCTGAAGAAAGCATCCATCTCCGTCGTTTTGACGATAAGACTGGGTTTCTTCATCCTTTTTGCCAAAGGACAAGGAGCTGGATGCGGGGGTCTCTCTGGAGTCCGGCTCCGCTTGCTGAGTAGTGACTTCCCCGCATGTGGGACCAGGGGGCGTGTCAGGATCGGGGTCTCCTGCTTGCTTGCCATCGGAGATGAGCCCGCCGTCTTGTCCAGTTCATCGGAGTGTCCCTCTAAGTCCCAGATACTCATCTCAGAAGTGGCAAAGAACGAAGAGTCGAAGTCCTCGGACAGATACGGCTCGCCGTAGAAATCGTCTACGTCAACAATGACAAAAGCAGAGTTCAGATGAAGCTCCCCGACCCCACGATCATGACGCATTTACATGAGGCACATTCAAAACTCGTTCAGTTGTGTCTGTAAGTTCTAGAGAAATTAAAAGTTCCAAGCAAAAACAAACCATTCTTCTTTACCGACAATACTGTACTACAACAATACAAAAGCATTCATTACCTTGGCCACACATCACTGCATCGGAATCGAAACTGGCCATGGCGGATCTTCTGGAGCAGACGTCTTCCTCAGAATGGACGGCGTTATCTTGCACCTGCAGACGACATTCTGAGCCTCCGTCAAGACTAACAACAGCCCGCCGTTGTTCAGTCTGTCTGGACGGGGTTGAAAGCTGTTCAGAAAATAACTCATGCGTCTGCACTGCGCGTTTGTAGCTAGAAAACATCGCCGCGGACGACTGGAGACCGTCAGAGAACCAGCACAAGGTCTGTCCAAACCTGTCTCAGTCCTTTCCTAGTTCCTGACAGAATCTGAGAACGATTCGAAGCTGACAGAAATTCCGAATTTCGCGGGAAAAAGCCGTCTGCTGTCTAACGCTTGCGCACTACATACAAGCCCCATATTTGGCTAAAGGATCTATACACCCTTACCAACATGGGAACAAGAAGGAGAGCCGAATTTTATAAAAGGCAATAAATCGCGCTCAAAATGTTAATTATCTTAAAAATCTCTATATAATATTATATACAATTATATTCAGTATTTATTTATGATATTATTTCTTTTTATTATCCTTACTAGTGTGAAATAGAAATTCATATTCCCCAGAATACACTGGTGGTACAGTCTTACAAAACCATCCAATGACTGCCAGCCAAATCACTCCTCCATATAAGGAAGTATTCGTAAGAACGGAAATCACCGAACAGGTCCCGGAAGGTGTCGGCCATGTTGTGTTGACTACTTGTCTCGAGAGCAGGAGAGAGCGTTGAACACAACCAGGCAAAATGCGGGCTGTAGTGCTCACGTTAGGCAGTCTATGCCTAACTGCAGCGGTCATAGGGAATGCGTACTACCAGAAGCAGCAGTTTTACCCATCGGTTGTTTACCTGACCAAGTCTAATCCTAGTATGGCCGTGAGTACCGTGTTCCATTTTCGTCTGCATGTCAGATGAGTTGTTCAACAGTGCAGTCTAATGCAACGTGTCACCTGTCGATTTTCGTCAGTTTATATACTTGGCACCTTCTTCAGGAAAGCTTAAGAGGTAATGAAACATTCTGATTCCCCTACAGGTTCTGTATATCCAAGCTTTCGTCATCGTCATCCTGATGGGGAAGCTGGTCCGCAAGTTGTTTTTCGGGCAGCTGAGAGCGGCTGAGATGGAGGGTGGGTCACCGGTATACACCGCAT